GTGCTGAATCACAACTTCATTATTTAGAGTTAATTAGGAACGGCTCATGAAGAAAGTGGTCAGTATGATCGCACAGTATGATTCACAGGTAATCATTACCTAATGATTCATTAATAAAGGATTTCCCAGTTGTTCTCTAGTAACTTATCATGATCTACTATAAGGTCCTCCATTAGAAATTGTTAATAAGTACTTAATAAGGATTTATCAATAATCAAAGTCGTTCCTCAGTTGTTTCTTAATTAACTAATCATTATTAAATTTGATTAAGAGTTACTGCGTCCCGTATTGTAAAGTGTTACCAATCACTGTAGCCAATAAAGAATTATGATAAAACTGGCTACTGTGCTATCCATAATATTTGTAGTAAGAAAATGTAAACCTCTGCTGTATTTAAATTTTTAACACAGAGAATCATCATTAGTTTCATTCTGAAAGAATGATTTCTATATCTTTACTACAAAGATGTCTGTGCTTTATTTATTGTCTTATCTTTGACTGTGAGGGCCGAGTTAATAAACGTTTGGCAGTTATTACTTATTGTCTGTCTGCCAGTTGTTAATTATTGCTCTGGATGTAGGGTCGCAACTGAAGGTGGCTTATCAACCTGTTTTATCAACTCAGATCTTCTCTCTTCTGGACAATGATGGCTGAACAGTCAGAGACCAATGTTGAGAGATAGCAACCAAAATCAACCTGAACAATGAAATGAGGTGATATACGCCCCTACCCCTCATACCCAGTGGAAATTACATTCTTGTCATTGATGACAACGGAGACACTTTTAAATATTATCCTTAACTGCAAATCAGGTAAGAACACAGCCTCTCAGGAAGTATCAAGGTTCCTCTAACCTTGTGCAGTTTGAGCTGTCAGAGTGAATGCTTTGAGTCATGGAGTCTTACTGTCTTTGACATAATGACTTCCTTTTGATTTATGGACACTCATTTAATAACAAGGCATGCATTATGATCCTTTTCATTTTGGACATTTTGTTCAAAAAGCTTAACTGCCACTTTTAAGATGCAGGGCACATTGTGTATGCAGTAGGCTTTTTTTCTGATCTGATGGTCAGTCATCCTTGATTAGTGTTGCTTTTAAAAAGCTCTATGCATAATGCCTCCCAGTGTGCCATCAGTCATGTTATGACTCTTACTCAGAAGCTGCCATAGAGGAAAAAATACATCTGGTACACATTTAGCTAAACTCTCCTACAGTAAATGCAGTGTTACTCTCACTACTGATGCCTGGCTAAAAAGTAAAATGAAACTTTGTAAGTTGTAACACTTTCCTAAAATACTGAACCATCTTTTAATAACAACTCTAACACCTGCCCATTATGTCTTCTACTTTCATACCAGCAGGGTTTTACTTTCATTGTCTTCCTGAACATCACATTTCAGAGTGAAAAGTTTCTTTGTCACCGTTGTAAATCTTCTCATTGCCTAAAATGTCATGTAAATGACCATTAGCTAATTTAAAACTCCACCAAAGTAGGGAATCATAACATTTAAGTGTGTCTTAATGTGTAATTATCCAAGTTCCAATTAAGATGATTAGCACAGTAAATCACAAACAACTTCCCTGCAGCCCCTTGATGCAGCGCTGACGCAGTGTTTCATCCACTAATTGAAACACGTTGATCATGACGACTCTGAATGAATCTAATGTAGACAAGAGGATTGAAACAGACCAAAATCTGCTCCTCTTGAGACCGATAAACAATGACAAAGCATAACGTGACCCTCCTTTGCTGCAGATCAGCAGTTTGCCCTCGTCTGGGTTTGTTCTGCACTGAAATCCTCTTACTCTTTATGCAGCAGTGTGCTGGTAGGTGTAGTGAGGCATATACAGTATAAATTAGTCTGAGGTCTGGAAAGAACAGGTTGATATGGTGTCGGGCTTAGCACTGCGGACCACAGTTGTTAAGCAGAGTTGAGTAGAAGTTGTTAAACCAGCTTTCAGCACCATATGAAATATTAGCCCACACTACAGCACTGAAGAGACTAATCCATCTTTTGAATTTGTGAATGAGTATCCAACTGGTTTTTACCCCCCAAGTGTTGCAGACAGTGTTATTAGTTTTTGAATAGCCTTTGAAAAGTGCCTCACTTCACAGAGCCTTATCACCGGCCTTTTTATGGCAGGTTTTTGTGCCTTGCTGCAACATACTGAACCTGACAGCAGTGTGCTCTGTGTTTACCTCTAACTTATGGTGCGTTTCACTGCCTGCGATATTTTCCTCAGACACATGTTGTTTTAAGTCTTGGTTTATGATTTGTTCATGAAAAGCAGCCATTAGAAGTCAGATGATAACACTTTGGTTAAATTATCCCGTGTTTGTTTCCATTAAGAAAGCAGGAAAATGTGATTTGTAAATAAAAAAACTGCAGTTTGTTTAATTAAAATAACTTTTGTCCAATCAGAAAAATCATGTATGATTTGTTTCAAAGGTTGGTGCATACACACCATGCAGCTAAGATGTTTAGCCAAGTCACCACCCCAGCCCTCACACCCTTACCTTCCGCCCTGCTACATAAAGGGAACACTACTTCGTGCGTTGGCACTGAATGTTAGCGCTGAATCGTGAGGGACAGAATTGTCTTACATTCACATAATCCATATAGGATACTTGGCTGGATTTAAAGGATCATGCTGGTGATATTCTATATTTTTGCTATTGTCAAGAAATCCCATACTTTAATAATAATAATAATCTTCTTCCTCTGTGCCATAGAGCTCCATTGATGTCCAAAAACTACTAAAAACACGTGAGCCACAATGTTGCACTGGGTGACTTGTTCCATTGTTTATTTATGTAAGTACATATATCGTCCTGCTGCTGGAAAGACACTGGGGTACCAAATGTGTATTAACCGCAAGTGCCCAACAAACATACAATTTTGTAGCGTTTGCTGAAAAATGCAGTGCCCAGCAGGGAATGATTTAGCCTTTATTAAAATTTAACTACTGACATATATAGTATCTCACAAAAGTGAGTACACCCCTCACAATTTCGTAAATATTTGATTATATCTTTTCATGTGACAACACTGAAGAAATGACACTTAGCTACAATGTAAAGTAGTGAGTGTACAGCTTGTATAACAGTGTAAATTTGCTGTCCCCTCAAAATAACACATCACACAGCCATTAATGTCTAAACCGCTGGCAATGTTAGAGACCTTGCACTTCTCCACCTGTATATGTGTGAAGTGTTTTTAAAAATGTACATCTTTAGTCAAAACCAATAAGCTTAGAGCTGACAGACAGAGAAGATGAAAACACACTGTTAGGGATTTGCTGAAGAAGTCATAGAATCTCACCAGTCCTGCTCCGTGCCTCATGGCACAACATACTTCAACAGGCTCATGACCACCATAACAACATGCCGATGACTTGGGCACCAGAAGGGAGAAGAAGAGAGGAAGACCAAAAAGCATGTGGAGACATATAGAGGAGTTCATGGGAAGAAGCACGAGGGATTGCAGCAGACAGGAAGAGATGGAGAGAATCTGGAGAGGCCTTATGTGCTACGAGGCAGGGAGGAGACAGATACGATGATGAGTTCTGGAGTGAACCTAACTGGAAAACAGACTAATTTTTTCATTGGGGTTTATCTGGTTACTTATTACTTATCTGTACGATGGTTGTATAGATTTATTCTGTATGTCACATAAGCATAATCGATCTGATAACTTCATGTCACAAAAGTATTCATATATGTTGTGTTTTGAAGTTAGCTTTACACCCTGTGTTGTTATGTGACCCTATGCCTATATCTCTAACTCTGTTTGCTCATAACTTTACAATAAATGTAAATAATACTTTGGTAACAAAAGTAAAGTGGTAGTTGCTATTATCTTTTACAGACATATTGGGCCAAATGGGGAAATAGAGATAAAACTGAATGGTAAGAAAGTAATTTTCAGCACAGAGATTACTAATATATAGGTCTCATTTCTGTAAAATTGGAAGTTTTAATTAAAGCAAATAAAGATCCAGCAGTTATTTAGCTATATAAGACAGATTTGGGGTGGTCTTGGGAGCAAAGGTGAATGCTTCCTAGACATTTCCCATGCCTGTTAGTTTCTTTATGACTCCAATGGTGAAACCAGTGAGTTGCATGGGATTCAACACAGATACAATAGAACATTCCCAGAGTTGGCTAATAATTAGTGCTTTTTACTGGTACGCAGTTCCGGCACCTCGACATTTTACTCTTTCGCGCACCGGGACATTTTCTTGCGTACCGGAACTTCTCCCAAGTCCTCCCTATATCAGGTTCTCTTGGCGCTACGTGACGCTCACCTGTTCCCGTTCTCGCCTGCCTGCTGATCTCGAGGGAGAAGAGAAACTCGGGTGTCTTTCAAGCAGCCCTGTGCTGAATGTAGGTCGTCAATGTCGCTTGTCGTGAACCGACCAATCACAGCCTGGACGGGGCGGGACATTTAAAAGCGTTGACAGATAGGTGTCGTTGGGGACAGGTGAGAATCAGAATGTCTCCATCACTTTTTGAAGCTTTTGTGAAAAATATTCTGAAAAACAGCAACTAGAACAAATGAAACAATGCACAAAAGGAAAACATGCAATGCAACTGAAATAAAGAGGAAACTAATTTGCATTGTCCAAAAGCTGATTACTGAATTATCTGAATTTTATTGCATTATATTTTGATTTGTCACCTGTCACCTTAATTTAGTTTCCCTTCATAAAGATATTTCCTTCATAACTTGGTGCAGAAAATGTGTTCAGAATGCAAGAACTCATGTGGTTAATGCGCAAAGTCGTTAATAATACCTACTAGTTTCATCTTGTGGTTGAGGATAGTGCGCGGGGGGGAGAGTACTGGCAACTATATTTTCCCACTTCAAGCACTGCTAATAATAATAGAGAAAGAGAAGAAACCAGGTTGGAAGTTCCTCAGCATCACTGTCAAAATTCTTTTTGATCACGTGTGACACAACACAGTGGTGAGCGTGCGTGTGAGCGTGCGTCAGCAGGCGGATAAGAGAGGTGAAGCATCGCAGGAGGTGTCAGGCTCACCATGCCAGACGGCCAGCTGCCGTGTCTCTGCGCCTCAGACCCGGCGAACACCCGTCTCTCATGTTCGTGCTCAGAGGCGCACTAAGCGGACCATGCGGCTGTTCACTGTCTCAACTTTGCTCCTGTGCTTCTTCTCTTCAGGTATGGACACGCAGCTTTGCTTTGTCAACACTTCGCGGGATTAAACGCGGCTTTTAGGGCTGTCGTTCCACACCAAAACTTCCAGACAATATTGCTTTTTGGAGAAGGGGCGCAGTGCCACTGAGGGTGTAATATCGGTGGTAAACTGGGAGACGCAGCGCGCGCAGCTTGGAGAGGTCAGCGCTGATCCAACGTTGTCTGTCTTTAAAGTTGAGCAGATTTCAGGTTCTCCAATATGATCATGGAAAACTTAAATGTGTATATACTTAGATTAAAGTATCGGGCCGCACGTTTAGGGTACTAATGACACCTATACTAGTCTCCTAAACATCGCTGTGCGCTGCGCTCCTGTGGTCTGAAATGACCCAGGTAAGTTTGCATAAAGACTGCTGATCAACAACGGAGAGTCCGTTATGACTCCTCTTTAAACTGTGAAATGCCTTCCCGAATTTGACCTCTGCTTAATCTCCTACACTGTTCCATGGTCAGCGCGGTGGCACAGTGAAAAGGAGCGTTTTCTCTGTTTTAGGTCTGCTGATGGCATTTATTTGATCAGTCTCGCGCAGGGCTGGAAGACGATCCTTTACTTGAGTATTGAATGTTAAAATACTCCATTACAAATAAAAGTATTGGAGTAAAATGTACTATATTTCGCTCTGAAATGAGGTGGACTAGAAGCATAGATAAAATGGAAATACTCAAGACAATTACTTCACAACTGTGTATAAGTAGTGCTTTATGTAATACTATGTACTTAGATTCCACAGTTGATAATATTTATAGTTTATAGTTTAGTCTATTTATAGTTGTATGTTTAGTGGCTACTGTTAAATACATTGCTTTACATACAGTAGGAAGGCAAAATTGTGTTAATGTTGACCAATAGTGAAATATGAGGTTTGATCACTTTGTGCAAAAAATCTCATCCTCTTGTCCTTTCAATGTCAGCAGCATGTTTATATTTTAAATGTCAGTTTTAGCAGAACAAAATGATGGGTCAAAATAACCAGTCTATGTATTCATGACTTGAGACCATTTGTAGTGTTTCATGGAAAAGGGGCAAATTAGATTAGTATTTTGAAGGACACACTATAAACAAATGAGTTTTATGGAAGAAATAATGAAATAACAAATATCAAAGCAAGGCGTGATGAAATGTTGCAACAACATTCCACTAAAATAAATGTACCAACAGCTACTCAAATGCAACTAAATAATTGAGCATGTCTGTCACTTGAATTTGAAACGGTTGGAGTGCAAGACACCAAATGTCAAAATATTCACCAAAATGAAATTGAATTTCACTTCGAGATGAAACTCTAAATAATTCTTTATTCATGATACCAGAGAAAATAAATGGAGTATGCAAATGAAATGAGCAAGTGTTTTGGCTAACGGTGGCGGTGATGGTGGAGGCCATTCAACCTGCTGAAAGTGATATAATGAATATGGATATGGATTATGGATAATAATTGACTGTGTGTGTGTGTGTGTGTGTGTGTTGCAGGGCTGGCTCTGCAGATTCAGTGTTACCAGTGTGAGGAGATGACACATGACTGCTCCACGCCAGAGTTCATCGTCAACTGCACCGTGAATGTGCAGGACATGTGCCAGAAGGAGGTTCTGGTGAAGGATGATGGTAAGTCACATCTCTGGAGTGCATCTCTAGGATAGCTTGTTCCACCTCTCTACTGTCAGAAACACATGCTCATCTCTTCTTATTTTTCTGACAGGGTATCTCAGAGCAGAACAGACTCCAGTAGAATCTGGACAGATTGGCCTCAAACCAAGAACGACAGATTAGATTGTGGTGGTGATGTGGATCTGGGATTTCAGCTGTGAATCGAGGGAGTTGATTCAGAATCTTAGTTCTCTCAGTTTATTTTTGGCATGAAATCAATACTGCTTCATCAGTGTATATGTTGGCCAATACGCAACAGGATATTGCAATTCAGTAATGCCAAAGATCTGTCTGAGGTCATTGTAAACAGTGTCACTGTTACCAGGGCTCCAGCTGCCAGTGAGGACACTGAGCTCATGTTCTTAGTGTTTTTTAATGGAATTCAGGAATTCTAGTAACCTGTGGGGCGTATACTACAATTAAACATTGTGGTTTTTTGACCCCAGTAGCCAGCTGACATTTACTTAAAGCTACGCTAATCAATATTTTATTAGGTTGTTCTATGCACCGCCCCCAAGTGGCCAAAATCAATTAAAACAGCATTACATTTGACTACTTTAAAACAATATTATCTAAGACATGTTTTTTTGTCCAAAATTTGATTTGCCATCCCTTCTGAGTGTAATTCACTGCGGTCGTAAATAAGGACATCTGTGTGCATTTGTTATTACATTACTCTCAAACTAGCAAGTCGAAACTTTGCTAGCACAGACAAACATTAAGCAAGTGTGACAACACAAGACATAGCAACTTACAAGTCCAACAGAAAGGATGCCAGCTTGGCTTGCAGCCCTTTATTTCATGAAGCTCTCGACAACATCTGGGAGCCTCTTGCTTGGTCACTATCTTTTTCTCTTCTTAGCTTCCTCCATCAACGTCCTCTTCGGTCTCTTCGCCTTTGATTTAGCTAACTTTATGTCCATAGAGACTGCTGTTGCCCACTTGCCCTCATGCTCTGGCACAACACAGCAGCAGCAATAAGTTGCTTGAAACTTAGGTGGCAAGCTAACCAACAAAGCTAGACAGCAATCGACAAAAAAAAGCACTTACAGTAATGTTTACAATGTCCAAGTGTGTTATCTTGTAAGTTTGCTAATATGAACTTTATAGCTAGCGGCCAAACTCTCTTCGTGAAACCTGATTTTGCCGTAGTCAATAACTTTGCTAACGCAGGCAGACATCAAGCAAGCCGGCAATACAAGACATAGCAATCCAGCTAATATGTTATTACTTACAAGTACGCCAGCTTTGCATCCTTTCAGTCCTGCATCCTTTCAGCTTGTTTAGCTCACGCCAACGAGTCATAGCCAGTCAGATGTTTTCTCTTCTATCTCATTTGTTTGTCTCTCTCTTTTTCTCTTCCTCGCTTCCTCCAAGGTCTTCTTCGGGCTCTATGCAGCCTCTGTCATGATATCCATACTAGCTTGTTCCAAAGAACTTACTTTGTACATTATATACTTTTTGCTTTATCTCATAGCTTGCTTGAAGAGTTTTCTTGATGCCGAAAAGCATTACGCTGTTCTCACAATAGAAATCCTGCTTTCAGTTTCAGTTCTGCATAGTGCCAGGCAAAGCATAAAGGGTACAGAGCAGCAATGCTAGTAAAGTCATTCACCATGATTACATGTCAGTGTACCATCAAAATGATTTTGCATCTGTTATTATAAGATACAAATGCTACATAATGTTGCTTTAAAGAAAATTCAGGGGATTCCAAAGTCATCACGATAGCCTACACTGTAGCTGGTAGGTTCTAAAATGTTATGCATAACAAAACATTCTGACCTGCTGGTGGAACTAGATGACAATGTCAGGAGATCACCAAGGCCAGTAGGATTCATCCTCTGGGCATCATTAATGTCTGCACAAAATGTTATTAAAATCCATCCAATAGCTGTTGAATCTGGACCAAAGTGGTGGGCCGACTGGCTGAGTGACATTGCTATTCATAGAGCAACACTGGCTAAAAAAATTAATAAAAATCTGATAACAATGTATCAGCCTATAGAGTCACAAGTATTCATATCAATATTGGCCTCAAAACTCAGTGTCAGTTTGGCTCTATAAAATGGAAAGACAGCTATAACTGCTCTGATCAGATAGTTAAACTTCCATCTATTTGCTTTGGCCTTTTTGTCAATGTCTTAGACCTTCAATCACAAAGGACAATACACTTTCATATGTGTCTGGCCTGAGAGATTCATCTTACTCACAATTAAATTAAATATTCAACATGTTAAACACAATGAAGTTATGAACATATGTCCTATCTACCTGTGGTGTTGTTTTGGTTCATGTTGTGCTTTTTGCAACTGTTCAAGAAACAGTCATAAAAGAAAAACTAGCACAACATATTATGTGAATTATAGAGTGTAGAGGGATAGTTTTGAAATCATAACTCCAGTCCTGTTGGTAAAACATTTAGTACACATAATCAATCATTTTCAGAACCATTAAAACCTTTCAGTAATTAGAAAAATGACACCATGTATGTTTGTGGACCTAGAGTCACATGTTACATTGTATGGGCAACAGCATTGACGTGATTTAGTATTAAGGGACGTGTAAATATCTGTCATACGTAAAAAGATATTTTGAAATCAGCCAGTGGAAGAGAATTAAAGTGTTCCACCTGGATTTTTTCAGATTTGGTTTACAATATGTTTTTGCAGCTGCTGAATTTTACACTCATTGAGCTTTGTCCATCCATCCATCCATCGTCAACCGCTTATCCTGCGTACAGGGTCGCGGGGGCTGGAGCCAATCCCAGCTGACACTGGGCGAAAGGCGGGGTACACCCTGGGATGGTCACCAGTCCATCACAGGGCTCATTGAGCTTTGTTTGCTTTTGTTTTTTGCATTTACCGTAAAACTTTGAATAATAGCCCGGGCTTTTATTTGCTAAAATCACTGAATTGACCCTGCCTATATGGGACAGGCCTTTAATTCCTTTTGCACAAAACTGAACTACTATGTAACAGTTCATTAATTAACATTAATTTCAAACAGATTAATACTAGTATAAAAACTATCCAATTATATCAAATACACATCATCTATTTGATCAAGCTCCGACAGACGGCTTATGCGCTTTTATTTTGAAGTAACATCATGACAACAACATGGTGCAGGATGAGAGAAGTTAGCGGACAGAGAGTGATGGACTTCACATGACAGGATTCACAACTTGGATTCATTTTATGAAAAGCTGTTTTGGTTCTTTTGATCGGTGGACCCTTACAGACTAAAGGAAGATAAGTAATCAAGGAAGGACACATTCGGACTTAACGAGCACTTCAAAGGTAACAGCAGTTAGCACTTTTTTTTCCTTTCCTCTCATGTACCATGCAGGTTACACTGGTAAATCTATAGGAATCAGACTTTGGGGCTCGTTGTTTTCGTTAAATGCACTGAACTATTGAATTGTGGAGAATCTAACCGATGTGCAGCATGTCCATTCTGACACATTGATCATAGGTTTAAACATTAACATTTGTGTTCACAATCTAAGCAGCTAAAGGAGGCGACCCCGCGGGGTTTAAGAGGTTTTATACAACCAAAGAACTTCTATAAAAACCAGACCAGGCGTTTAATGGAGACCTGCGTTTATTTGTCAAAATGTGTTCCCACACCAGGCCAGTAAAGGAGATAGGCGGCTATTTGGGACTCAGCTATTAATTGAAGACACTAAAGGTCAATCTTACACCCCAGGTCTACTTAGTTTTCACACCCAGCGAATATTGGCCCATTTTTTTCCCACTCTCTGCTGCTGATGAGCAAAAGCAATAAGCTGCTGTCTTTGGAAATGTGGTTCCCGATCCAAAGGGCAGGCACTCGGCACTATAGAGTCGACAGTTCTTTAATAAGAAAATTTCTGCATGAATGCTCATGTACGTCCCAGTCTTTATCTGTCAGTGTTATCATTATTGCTGCTCTGCATAAAAAAGAGGGCTTAAAAATTCCACTGACCGCACCTTATCATTATTTGAAATGCAATAGATACATTCACAATGGCACTGCCACCTCTGTGCAATGTGTTAAGTAATAAGAATAAAAATCAGTGGGGCTGTATAATTGCCCCATGATTTCCTCTATAAGCCTGTGACTGCATGTAACTCTATAAGTTAGACCTAAAAGATATAGAGACCCTGACGTATGTCCCCCTCAATTGGGCAATTTTCTCCTGGCTCAAACACGAGTCCTTGTGCATCTGGAGGACATTACAATCCATCTCCTACAACTGAGCTTTGTAGCTAAAAAGAAGACACTGTTTGACAGCAGAACATCATGGTGTCACTGGAAGAGTGAATATCATCTGTCAAACCACCAAGAGTGGAGAGAGACACATCCACAACCTCCATTCAGATGATGGCTAGTTTTCTGCTGGGCAGCATGAGACAAGCCTGACTTCCTATCGAAGCCCATCTTCTATTACTATCATCATCGTTCCCCTCTGATTATGTCTTGAGAAATGATAAAATGTGTGCTTTTACCTTGCTGAAGACCCTTCCTCTCCCATTCCCTTTAAAGGAGGGATGATTGCACATGCTCCAGCAGGCCACCTTTCATTTCAATGTCCTCTGCCCCTTTTGTTAAAGAAGGGGGAGTAAGATGTACTGTGATGAGGGATATGAAATTGGCCACCCTTCAATTGCTCAGAGGCAATTTTCAAGGGACCACAACTAAATTAATGTAATGACATATAAAAACACACCAAAAAGCAGCATGGGTGTAGAGATTTTTTTTCACTTTATAATGGATAAATTATTTGTGCAACAAAGATATAAAATCTTTCAACGTCAGAATAATATTTTAAAGCTACACTAATAATTTTAATAAATCAAATTACTATGTGATGCAAGCCCATAGGGAATTATAACACAACTGCAGCTCCCCTCAGCACTGTGGAGAGTTTTAACCTTTTTCAGTCCATTGTTTTGGTTTTTGGCTCACAAATT